ATTAGGTAATTCTATTTGTTAATTTCATTAACATAGGTAACATAAGTGTTTTTTGACAATTTCGATGCTCAATGATCAATGAAAATAATATCTTTATTTTAAATGGCAATATCTTCAGAACTATTGTATCTGTTAACGTGAGTAGTAGTAATGTTAACAGTTTTTTATTCTTGACCTAAGCCAATTAAACGCCATTTTCAGAAATACCAGTAACCTTAGTATCCGGAGGAGGTACCCTTTAGGCGAAGACAAAGAAAGATGATCTGCTCCATTTTCTCCACCTCTTTAACGTGGTTTCTCCTAAGACTTGATGCCGGTGTTGTCCTGAATATATAATAGAGATATATCTTTCTTTCTCTATTACCTCCCCTTCGAGTTTATGACTCGCCAACTTGATGTTCTTATATTGGAGTTCTGAGCTTGGATAAGGCTCAGCAGGTAGGTGGTGTCTTTCCCTTTGCTTCTCTTTGCTCTTTGGGGACGTTTTCTTCTCTAACTGCAACCAGTCCAAACCCCTGCCAATTCTTAAGCTTTCATCAACCAATCCGGCGATTCTTGAAATGCACAATCTATGAGGAGCATGCCCACCCCAAAGTGTATACCCGCAAATCTCCGCTGACCCACATTTTGGGGATAGTTGTGTTCCAATCTGCTCATTACTACTTCGTCCAGTATCGCCCTTCTAGAGTCGCTTGCTGGTTGGTGGTCAGTGCAGCCTCTGGATAATCCTCTAGAAGCACCGCCATTTTCAGTTGTCCAGCAATAACGGCAAAGGTTTGGCCCTCCGTGCCCTTCAGAGTCGAGGAACTTGTCTCCGGAGGAGGTACCCGTGAGGTGGAGACGAAGATTGTCTCTCGGTGTTGGACGGCTTTCCATCCTGCGGCTTTTTTCTCTCCTAGCAGAGGTGAGAGGTTCTCGCTCCCTCTCTTGCCCTTTGGCGGAGATGCGTCAGATTCCTTTACTCACCCCTTTTTCAAGAAGTGTTTTGGATTTTGCTTTCCCTGGAACAAGTCCTTTGTGGAGCAGTTGGAGCTATCTCCGTACTTCTGCTCCGCTATGACCTACCCTCACCGGATCGTCTAGCCCGCCTGGTTGACCCAGGCTATATCCTAGTTTCGGAAATACCAATTCTGAGCATTGATATTGTCTTATATCATATTCCTATGTTTAACCTAACCTTATACCACTACACTTATTATACTTATAATAACAAAATAATTATGCACAAGGTTTTTCACGCAACTCAGAAGTAATTTTTAGGATATGATTTAGATACTTTACATTTTTTTCAGTTAAGGGTATTTCCTAAGTGTACTTTTTTGTTTTTTTTTTAAATATTTTTTACTCTTTGTCATTTCCGGTCTAACCGCAAATGGCTTCCAAATTGTGTATTTCAAATAAAACATCTATGTTTTTTGACTTTTGAATTCTGCTCAAAATTCTAAACACGGGTGTTTGTCCAAAATATACCCCTATAACTTTTATATTTTTAGATAAAAATACGAAATTTGGTATATTAGCATATGACTTAAATCGAGATTGATTAATGTATTCAATTAGTTTCGGCAACTTTTTCATCATTTTGTTTGATCGGAAATGATTACAACGTTTGATTTTTAAATGGTACCTCGTTATTTTTTTTACTTTATTTTATAGAATTCTTCTGAATAGAATGACGTACCATTTGTCATTTTTAATTAAAAAATTGCTTTTTAAATTTCAATCTAGAGTGCCATGGCTGTGTTAAAACCATTGATTTTTAATCAAGGACCTTTGGAAAAATATATTTGAACGTCTAATGTTTTAGTGCCTTTTCCTGGCCGGTTAAAAATCTTTTTAATACGGCCTCTGCCCAAATCGTATATTTAATCGTAACTCAATTTTTTAAATCGAATGAGGATGGCTCATAGTATATGTGGAAAAAGCATTTTTAGAAAATAATTGGGTACCAAACTACCAAATGGTGGTATTTCCTGTCAAACTGTACATTTACGAGTGTGGCACCCTAGATTGAACAAAAGTTGACATTAATGTCAATGAATTAATTAATATGTTATTCTATTCAGAGTACCAATTTTTATCAAATAAAATAAAAAAATACCGAAGGTATTATTTCAGTCATTTATGGTGAAACAGAAACTGATAAAACAAACCTAATTGCATAGGCCAATCAATTCACATTTATGTCATATACTAACAAACTGAATCTTATTTTTTTGTCTGAAAAAATAAAAACATTATAGGCGTTTGAAAAGCACCCGGTATTTAATCAGTTATATTATATTATAAGTTTGAGTGGGTAGCTGCTTCAAATAGCTATATCGTATAATAATAAACATGCGTATATAGACATGGTCTTGCTTAGTAATGTAATGAACAATGGACGTCGTCGTATCGATAAAACACGAAGAACAATAAGCGCTGCAAACTGCATTACGTACAAAAAGAACTGTAAATGGGGCAGTTTTAATATAGAAAACAGAGCTATCTTTGTAAGGAAAATGAATGAAACCACTAAACCACACAGTTTTTCTCTCTGTTTTTGTATTATCCAGACGATGAATCAGTGGTTAAATTAATTGAATTAATTTTTACTAGCTGTCTCTTTATAATAATGTGGATATTTATTTGAAAAAGTTTATTTTTGTGCCATTATTTTAATAATTTACTATTATCTAGGTATAATACTGCCAGCTAACGACATAAAATTAAAAATTATTTATTATTCATTTTTAAACAAGCGCTTATTTAAATGCTTTATGATGAAAAAAACTTTAAATTAAATTAAATATATAATTTTATTTTTTTTTGGAAATTCTGTCAACACTGGCAGCAGAGGCTCAGATGGGTACCAAAACTATAGTTTAAAATAACGCACGCTAAAAACAGCGCAAGGTGGAGTAATGTTTCCCCTACTGTAGATCTTAGTAGTGGATGAACTATGTACTAAACAAATTAACTCTAGCGGAATACACTACATTAGGTATGCAGGGATGGAGCTCTGTAACTAAATAGCGATCGCTATTTAGTTACAGAGTTCTACCTCAGACGACATGGTCATGATGGCTCGGGAGAAACATAAAGGTACCCTGTGTGATATTATCCACAGAGGACTCCGTATTATGCGTGGTAGGTCATTACAGACACCCATGCTACAGTTACAGCAAAAACTGTGCGGCAGCGTAACCGTCACAGTTAGATCTTTCACGCAGCTAACACACATCAAAGACACATTCGAGTAGAACAAAATCATCGTCCGGAGGTAAAATACTCCCTCGATCTCCGGGAGGAGGTATCGTTGGTTGTATCGAGCGTATCATTGATTAGGTTAAAAACAAAAATTGTGCGGCAGCGTAACTGTCACAGTTAGACCTTTCACGCAGCTAACACACATCAAAGACACATTCGAGTAGAACAAAATCATCGTCCGGAGGTAAAATACCCCCTCGATCTCCGGGAGGAGGTATCGTTGGTTGTATCGAGCGTATCATTGGAGAAACAAAAATCATCAATGTTTCACGTTTGTGGCGTGGAACGTCCGCACTCTACTGGACAAGACAAATTCAAATCGACCAGAGGGAAGAACAGCACTGGTCTCACAGGAACTCCACCGGCTACATATAGACGTTGCCGTTCTTAGCGAAACCCGTTTTGCGGATCTCACTATGAGGAGCATTACACCTTCTTTTGGAAGGGTACACCCCGCAACACACAGGAAAATTTACGGCGTAGGCATTGCAGTAAAAAACGAAATCGCCACCAGATTAACAGAACTATCTATTGGTGTCTCCGAACGTCTTAGACCCTAAGGTACTCCATATCAGACAAAATTTACGTCAACATCATTAGTGCCTACGTTCCTACTATAGACGCTAAAAGGAGGATGGATAACTAATTTTTGGGCTGCGTGGGGTCATTTTTTCGGCTAAAGCTGGCCGAACACGGTATTACAATTTTTTTTTCCTAAAACTACACAAGGTACACAATCCACCTAAAAAGTCACGGTCGACGAATTACGCCGAGATTTGGTTATTTTCGTGTTCCTATTTATTGGTCTAATTGTAATACATTGATGGGTTTAATTCAATTCAAAGTTTATTTTCTTTATTTTGGAATATTTATATAAAAGCTCTAGGGTAGCGGGTAGGCACTTCTTCACGATCCCGGTGGAGAATAGGTCACTTCAGGAATGCGCTCCTTCCCACGCAAGTCATGATTTCCTCTACCTCCTGTACTTTAGGGGGAATCATGTCCAAACCCTTTATCCTACCCTATTCCAACCAATGATCCTACCCCATTCCCCTACACTTTACCAACCGGCAGGGCTAGCGTGGTAGAGTACAGCCAATTCCCCCTTAACTATGGAAACGTCTTCCAAGATACGGCCCTCAGTCTCCGGCAGCTCAAACTCCCTCGACTATAGGTAGCGGCCGAGTAAGGAAAAGAGCAGAAGGTGCTAAGAATCCCCGGAGTGGACCAGGCTACCTTAATACACGAAAACTTCCATTTTTAACGTTCAAACCCTGTCAAAGGATGAGAAATTATTGGAATTGGGGAAGAATTACAACATATAGGATGTTGTGGGTCCGAGTGAGGTAAGAAGAAAGACTGAAAAACAAATAGAATTGAAATGTGGGAACCTTCTTTATCATCAGGGAAATAACGAATATGCTCTGGGCGCTGTAGGCTTTCTGATTAACAAGAGACATATTAAGAACATCGTAGACATTGGAAGCATCAGTCCTAGAGTCATCTACCTAACCCTTCGTTTGAATAACCGTTACTCTCTAAAAATTGTACAAGTCTATGCCCCAACGTCAAATATCACCGAGGAAGAAATAGATATTTTTTATGAGGACGTCTTCGAGACTCTATCACTCAAATCCCAATTTACGATATTAATGGATGATTTTAATGCTAAAGCTGGACAAAAGGAAGATAAGGCAGAAATATGTGTGGATACATATGGTTATGGTGAAAGAAATTAGAGAGGAGCGAAAATGATCGAATTCACGCTGCAAAATGGACTATACGTAATAAACACCTTCGTTAAGAAACATCCAAATCGAAAATGTACCTGGGCAAGTCCAGACGGAATTACCAAGAACGAGATAGATTTAATCATGACTGATAAAAACTGGATAATTAGAGATGTACAAGTATTGGACGAATTCTCCATAGGAAGTGACCACCGAATAGTTCGAACTAGAATTGAATTCAACCTTAAATCTGAACGACGAAAAAGGATAAAGAAGAGGCCCACGAGAACATGGGAACCAGAAAAGCCAGAAGAATATAGAGCAATGGTAGCTGAAAACTTAGGAAATCTGGAAAATAGGGAGATTGAAGATATAAATAATTACAGTGTAACTATTTTAACGCAAGCTATTAAAGAAAGTTGTCCTAAAAAAGATAATCAGGGAAACACAAAACTAACCCAAAACACAAAAGATCTGATAAAACAGCGAAGAGTTATGACAAACCAACACTCAGATGATTATAGGAAACTTAATAAGAAGATATGAAAAGAGATGAATCCGAAAGATGATGGAAAGATATCAGAACCTACAATACCAACAAAATAACGCAACTCATTGAGAGAAATCAAGGATTAAAAATTTTCAAAAAGGAGGCAAGCAGAGGAAGAGCACTAATTCATAAGTTGCAAAACGCAGAAGGTCCTATAACATCTAATAGAACAGATATTCTGCGTGTTACGGAAAATTTCTACCAGCAGTTATATGAGAACCCAAACCCTAGAAACTCGTATAGTACCATACCAACTGTGATGAATCAAGGCTCAGAAGAAATCCCAGATATTACTTTAGATGAAATATCGGCGATATTAAACTTTATGAAAAACAATCGGTCTCCCGGTGACTACAATATAGCTATTGAAGCCATTAAAGAAGGAGGAGAAAAGGTTCTCAAGGCCTTGCAAATATTGTTCAACAAATGTCTTGTCGAAGGAAGAACGCCATCAGAATGGGATAATGCCAATATAATCCTATTACATAAAAAAGGGGACAAAACAAACCTTACCAACTATCGGCCTATTAGTTTACTGAGCCACACGTACAACTTATTCACATAAATTCTTACAAATCGTCTCTCCCTAAAACTAGAACAATATCCTAAATAAAGATTTAGATCGAACTTCGGTACAAATGACTATCTGTTGGTGGTGAAGTCCCTAATAGAAAAATGTGTTGAGTATAATAAACCCCTCATTTTAATATTTGTCGACTACAAAAAGGCAAAAGATCAACACAAATTATTTAAGGCCCTAGCCAAATGTCGTATAAACACCCGTTATACTAACCTTTTAAAATATACGACCATGCAACAGCATCTGTATCGCTACATGAAACAAGTATATTCATATATTTTATAAATATCTGGGGGCACGAAATAGCAATTGGTCGCGATAACCAGACACACGAGATACAAACAAGAATAGGACTAACATGGGCAGCATTCGACAAACTAAGATATGTGTTAAAATCAGATCTACCAATGTGCTTAAAGAGGAAAGTGTTCCATCAGTGCGTTATGCCAGTACTTACATATGGCGCAGAGACACTTACACTGACGAAAAAGTCCATAGAAAAAATCCGTGTAGCCCAACAAGCTATGGAAAGAGCAATGCTTGGTGTATCTCTAAGCGACAAGATACCCAATACAGTTATTCAACAGCGTACACGAGAAACAGATTCTGTATATCTGCTTAAAAAAACTCAAATGGAACTGGGCTGGGCATATTGCCAGAAGAACGGACGACGAATATAGATGGACCAAGCTAATACTAGAATGGCGGCCAAGACAGGATGCTCTCAGAAACAGAGGAAGACCTCCGACAAGATGGTCAGACGACTTAAAGAGATTTAGGGGCGGGGAAACTGGATCCAAGTGGCACAGGACCGAGCAGAGTGGAAATATTTGATGGAGGCCTACGTCTAGCAGTGGAAACTTCAGGCTGGTTGATGATGATGATATAAAAACGCATATATTTTTAAAAATATTTTTTAAATGAATAATTTCACTTTTAAATTTTTTGTTTTCTCTTAATTTCATTTCAAGTAATTCATCATTATTGATATTTTTTCTGTTAATTTGGAACTATCATTCGCGCTAATTAAATGTGTATTCTTCAAAAAATACGAATTTTCTTGCTTTAGACCATTTTAATTGTCTATTGGTGCGATGTTTTGTCGGTGCTGTATTATGGTGTAGAGACTTGGACTCTGAAGAAACTTGACATAGGAAAACTAGAGACATTCGAGATGTGGCTGTACCGTAGAATACTTACGGTAAAATGGACCGATAAAGTGACCAACATGGAAATCCTGAAAAGAATAAAAAAGGAAAAAGAAATTATCATAACGGTAAAAAAGCGTAAACTTCAGTACCTTGGACACGTCATGAGAGGAGAAAAGTACCACCTACTCCAACTGATATTACAAGGAAAAATTCAAGGAAAGAGAAGTGTAGGAAGAAGGCGCCACTCATGGATGAGAAACTTACGTGACTGGTTCGGGTGCACCACAAACCAACTATTTCGGTCGGCTGTGTCACGAATACGTATAGCACTGATGATTGCCAACCTTCGCAACGAAGAAGGCATTTGAAGAAGAAGAATTGTCTATTTTCAAAATTAAAATGGTATAGAAGGTTGAACATTTTTTTACTTTTAAATGTTGATATCTATGTTTTGCACGATTCTATTTTATTCGACTTGATGTCCCAATATTTCGTGAACATAGAACTTCTACGCATTTTTGGAATCAAAATAACTTTATTGGACAAAATTTACCTCTGTACGAAAGTGCTTCATTTGTCCGCCAGAGGGCATGGAATATTAAAAAAATTCACAGTCCTTTACAAAGATGCAACCGGGGGGCATTGAAAATGATGAATAAAAACGTAAAAATATGATTAGTGTTAATATGATACACTCATATTAACATATGTATGTTATTTAAACATACATACATATGTTTAAATAACGAACTTAACAAAAAACAACAGATTTAAAGATTCACTGAAAAAGTAGTAATGTTAAAATTAAATAAAATATTATCAATAATAATTATGCGATCGCACCTATCCGTAAAACAAACTAGCAAAAAAACCTCGAAAAAAATAAAATAACATACAAAACATCAGATTAACATGATGACAGATCATGATCCATGACAGATAAAGAATTCTTACGGAAAGTTACACTTTACGATATAATTTTTTAACTGTTAAAGGCAAACCCCATTTAAACACAAAACTGTTTAGTACCTACTACTGTATCTAAAAGACTTTTTTTTTAAATTACTAAATTCTTAGCCACGCTTCTGTTTTTCTTGGCTGTTGTGCGTCACGTCACAGATTAACAGGCCCACGTTTGCACCACAAGGCGATGCTGCAGACCACTAGGTAGACCGGTCGTAGAAATTTATGTTATACAACTTGTAGTCAATCTACACACATATTATCAAAAACTTTTTTCTTTTAAAATGTGTTCAGATTTTGTAAAAAGTATAAGTCAAAATCGCAAAACTTAAATTTGATATGAGTTTCTTAGTTTTTAACTAATATAGTGGCGAATTACAAAAATTCCTTTTCAATGAAAATTAATGAGTTAAATAAAATAATTTAATAAATTACTAGCTTTTTCTCGCGACTACGTTTGCGTTACACTTCGAATCGTTCATGCATTGATTTAAATGATTTTTTACTTCTTTATAGAGAGCTAGTGAGCATAGATGTTTTTTTATTTTTCATCTTTTTTTATTTATTAAGAGCACTAATACTCTCTTTATAGGTTATTTTTTATTCTTTGAAGGATAATTGAGGAAGATATATTTCGTTATGATGTCACTAAATAAACCCTTGTATAAAATTTTATACTGTCTGGTTTATAATGTTATAGTATTGCATTTTCGTACAGCAAACTTTCATTCCCTATTCTACTCCCTAAGGGTATAAATTTCATAAATTCGCTTTACCTTTGTCTCAATTTTTATGTGTATAATCCAGAGGTCACCAAGTTTTATATAAATGTTTACTAACTTTATCCATTTGGTTGATGAATTAAAAAATTTCTTTTAATTCTTTTTGTAGGATTTCATTCTTCTAGACCAAATAGTAATAATAATTTTACTCTCTAAGAGGATGAATTTCCTAAAATCGCTTTGTGTAGCTAATTCACTAATGTCGTTTAAACGAACCTTTGTGCTAATATTTATGTATCTAAAGCTGGCGGCATGAACTCACTCTAAAATATCTAAAAACGTAATATATAATCTAATTGACAGACCACTGACAATGACAAATAATTTATTTCTGGAGGTATGTATGTAGGTGTTTTTTCAGGTATGTTTTAGTATTTAGTCGTTTTACACAAAGAAATAGCCATTCAGCACTATAAAAATACTTCATAACAAATCTACACATATATACCTTTCATTTAAAAAAAGAATCATCAAGATTGGCAAAGCGGTTTCGGCGGGATGGATGCAACAAAAAAACCCTTTGAGCTTTTATATATGTATGGATTAATTTATTTTTCCAACATATTTTACTTTGCAAATTTTTATAAATATTCAGACTCGCCAATATCGTACTCCACCGTGTCCAGCCTGTTTAGCCAGACGTAGGCCGATTCCTTTTGGGCGGCGTCGTGACCCTGGCCGAAGGAAGAGTCTTGAAGACGCTCATCCGCGCATAGGAATAAGTTGACTGCGTAGCGTATTGCGTATTAATCGATTCTGAAACTTTCTATCTCGTGTATAACATGTTACGCAAGTTTATTATTTTAATCTCGATTTTAATAGATAAATGTGTGAAATGCCACCTGAATATCTTCCGCCATGACATCTTTTTACTTTTTTCTTATGTTAAAGTGATTTGTATAAACTTTATTCAATAACGTATATTTTCCTCCATTTGTGATTTTTTAATTTTAAGCGAAAATTAAGTATAACATTTTAGGAAAAAGAAACACTGTAATATTTAAAAGAATAAGAAGAAATTAGTCTTATTTTGAAAGGAAAATATAGAAAAAACTCTTTTTATAGAAAAAGTCTTTATACTAACCAGAATTCGGTGACACATACGCGGTCTCACCGGAAACAATGGAAACATTACTTATTACTTCGCATAACTTGAAGAATATCTACTTTTAATAATGAACACTTCAGAAATACACCAGTAAAAACATTTATTATTTGAGATTAAAACTCGAATTAAATTATAAATATCAGTTACCTATGTTGTTATAGCTTTTATAGGCCTGTTTAACGACTTAATAAGTTACCTAGCGAAAAAATCTGTGCGCGTACCTACCACTATTGTTACAGGTTAATTCGTTAAAGAAATATGTTACACAAGTTAAAAATCCTAAAATTTTAATGGTATTACTTGTGCATTATTGGCCTTATAATGTAATTTGTTGGAATTATATCTCCTTTAAATATAATTAGTCTTTTTAGCGACTTTTAAATTACCCAGGAAAAAATCTGTGCACGTACCT